CTTTCTCACACTGCACCAGGGTATAGGCCACGGACAGACACTTTCTCACCCTGCACCAGGGTATAGGCCACGGACAAACACTTTCTCACCCTGTACCAGGGTATAGGCCAACGACAAACACTTTCTCATCTTGCACTAGGGTATAGGCCATGGACAAACACTTTCTCACCCAGCACCAGGGTATAGGCCATGGACAGACACTTTCTCACACTGCACCAGGGTATAGGCCACGGACAAACACTTTCTCACCCTGCACCAGGGTATAGGCCACGGACAAACACTTTCTCACCCTGCACCAGGCTATAGGCCACGGACACTTTCTCACCCTGCACCAGGCTATAGGCCACGGACAAACACTTTCCACCTTTCTCTACCCAGGGCTAGCCTCTTGATGTTATTCAATGTCTTCCCACTTTTCTGTACATCGATTTATGTCATTCTTCTACAGATTCCACGCGGTGACACGGGTAGATACTGGATTTAAAAAACAAACAAAAACAACAACAAATAAAAAACGTCCCTCCTGGAAATTGAACTAACGTCTTCAGCGCACAGATGCAAAGACTAACCACTACCCAATAGACGCCAGAAAGAGGTATCTGTCGCTATAACAATACGGTACCTTCAGCTTGCGAAGGTAATGAACAACAAACAGATAGAACCAATAACGGACTAATTGATCTATAATCACTGAAATACATTGATTGGTCTAAAATAACAACAGAGACACTTTGATTGGTCTACAATAACAACAGAAATACATTGATTGGTCAACACGACAAGAACAGAGACACGTTGACTGTTCTAAAATAACAACAGAAACACTTTGATTGGTCAATACGATAACAACAGACGAAAACAGAGACACGTTGATTGGTCTGTAATAACAACAGGGACACATTGATTGGTCTGAAATAACAACAGAGACACATTGACAGTTATAAAATAACAACAGAGACACGTTGATTAGTACATTGTTTTTATTATCACGGTATTGATCCCTCATCAATTTGTCATTCCCACATTCCGACGGCCTCAGATTCTACACTGTCTCTGGCTCCGGGAGGAACAAACAGGAGAAATTCCTGCTTAGTAAAACTCATTATGTACATGTTCATGTGTACATGAGGGCTTCCAAAAATCAACCGTCGCACCTTAAAACAAACTATGTGTTTGTGTGTTTGGGGGGGGGGGGTATGTGTGTGTGTGTGTGTGTGTGTGTGTGTGTGTGTGTGTGTGTGTGTGTGTGTGTGTGTGTGTTTGTGTGTGTAAGTTTATTATATATAGATTACAAGTAAATGTTTGTTTTGCATATATTATTTGTGCAAGTGTGTGCATACATGCTTGTGTATGTGTAAGTGTGTGTATGTGTATATGTGTTTGTGTGTGTGTGTGTGTATGTGTATGTGTGTATGTGTGCGTATGTGTGTGCATGAGCGCGTGTGCACGTGTGTATGTACAAATGTACATGTATCATAAAATTCAGAGCAGATTAACACCATGAATTAGAAAAATGCATGTCACTATAATATTATAGGCGCCAAAGTAACAGAATTAAATTATAATATAATGTGTAACTACATGAAAAGTCTTAAAGAGCGACGGGTTCTTCTCAAAAGCTCCAATACACATTACAAACTGCCTTTCTTTGACACAAAAAAAAACCGAAAAGAATAGCGTCATGATGCGATTCTACGTGTGACAATATTAAAACCTTGAGTAGAATAACTGGCATGCTACATAATGGGCGATACAAACAAACACGGTGATAAAATATGGACAAACAGCAGGTCTAAAAACCATTATCACTTTAATGCATTAATACGGTTTGGCCAATTAAGTTCATAATAATGATTTTAATGACAATAATTCCAATAATAATAATAATAATAATAATAATAATAATAATAATAATAATAACAATAATAATAAATTTTAATAATAATAAATTTTAATAATAATAATAATAATAATAATAATAATAATAATAAAATAATAATAATAATAATAATAATAATAATAATAATGACAATGACTATAATAATGATATTGACAATTACAGTGGCTATGATACTGATAATGATAATGATGATAATAAAAGTAATAATGTAGATAATAATAATAATAATAATAATA